AGGGGTGCAACAAGAGGACGTCCTAGGAGGTCACCCATCCTAGTACTATTCTCACCCAAGTATGCTCTGATACCAATTGTAATCCTATTTTTCCAGTATTGGTAATTTGTTCCATCAAAATAAGGTGGCCTAGTGATTGAATGACCTTCAACAAAATGAGCTTGGAAAGCCATGGATCTACTCAAGATTGTTAAATCTATTTCAAAGAGAACCTGCTCTGATACCAATTGTAATCCCAGCTAGCTACCCCAAGCCAATTCCTAAGATATAAAACTCATTCTTTTCCTTTATAAAAACGTGAATGAAGTTTTCAATATATATGTATAATCTGTTATGCAAAATAAAACAAAGATCAATTGCAATCTTGCAAATAAAGTGCAGAAAAATAAAAGAGAGGGAAGAGAATATCAAGCCATGATTTATAGTGGTTCCTCCAACTCGGAGTACGTCCACTCCCCAAGCCTCCTTGCTCGAGAGTTCAATACACTAGAAATCTCTTGCTTACGGGTGCAAGATTAAACTGGAACAACCTCTTGCTTGCGGGTGCAAGATTAAACCCTCACAAGTGAATCTCAACTCACTCAACCCCTTCAAGGATTAACCCAATCCCAGAAGAATACAAAAACCCTTGTAAGACAATATACCCAAAAGCTTACAAGAAGAAGAAAAAGGAAACCCAGATCTGTTTCAAACTCTTGTTTCTGAAACGCTATAGCAGTTCTACCTTCTTCCTCAATCTCCAGATCTGATTTTTGGTGTTTTAATAATTGGTTGGGAGCCTTGCCATTAATTGCACATTTAGACCTTCAAAGCCACCTCACAATAGCCCCAATGGTTCCACCTTATTCTTCTGACTTGTCTTGGAAAATGCTAAGACGTTTAGATACCCTATGACCCATTAAGAGAAAACAGATAGTTGAGCTGTCAAAATTTAACTTTCCAGAATTTTTGCTTCGAAGCCAGAAATATTGCTTCGAACCATTTTCGGAAAACAAAAGTCCGAGATTGATTCGAACCAAAATAAATTGGTTCGAACCTAGAACTCTGAACAAGGAGAACATGAATTAATTCTAATCGTGGGGAAAGATTAGAAACCTTGGATTAATTTTCCTGCACACTTAACACAAAATAGATTAAATTCTTTTGAATCATGGTTTTAAACCATCATAAAAAAACAAAGAGAACCTAACAAGTGCTAGTATGATCGCACCCGTCAGTGGATGTGTGAAAAGTGTAGATATGCGTCGGTGACTCGGGACCCGGAGCAGACAAACGAAAACAATACCGATCCTTTTTGCACTACCAACTTCAGAGTTG